CGTACCGCTGTACTTCTCCTCTGCGATAAATGCCACTAGCATTTTATCAAAAACTATTTTGAGTGAACAAAGAGGTAAAATGCTACTTATTATGGAGCACATAGCCAGATGCACTGTAGACGCACTACTGTAAAGCTGCAGCAGCGGTACGATACACGCAAAAAATCTCAGATTTATTAAAACTCTACAATAATCTATTTACAATATACATTATGTACACCAGTAACTCCCATAGGTTCCATTCAATCGTTCCGGGCTACCCTTCAAACTCAACGGTTTCCTGACGTTTTTTCGCATGTACTTCTGCAGTTCGGCTATTTTGGCTTTCAACCTGAAATCGTTGTTGTTACCACGAAGTGATTAGGCAGTCGGCTCTAATCACTCCCTTCTGGGATGCGCCACGCATTGTGCTTCCATTCAGTATCGTAGTGGCATTTTCATTGGGTATAGCCTATCTCATGACTCAAGGAGAACTTTTGATATGCAGGTTAGTGCTTTTTCCCCATAGACAGGTTTGATGCCAATAAAACAACATGCAAGTAAGGGGCTCTTTAGCTCATCTGTTGAGAGCCGTCCCCAGGTCTGACTTTCCAGTCCTGCTCACGGTAAAGGGCGAAATTTGCCACTGAACCACCTCCTCCGTAGTACTGAACTGCAACCGTCCTAAATTTGCCAATCTAATGAGATTACTCGTTGAGCATGTGGGTAGGTGGCTGAGGCTTTGCGGGGATTTCTCCTTGACATGGAATTCTGAAATATTCCAAGAACCGGCACTATGAACCTATTCAGCAGGTCTTAGTGGCGCAACGTTCTCACGCGTTACGCCGTCTAGGCGAGAGTGTGGACCTATAGAATGCTATGTTCCACTTCGTCTAAATCATGCTCATTTCGTGGAGAGGAGGCACACGAGCAGCATGGGGTGGCCTAACCCTCACCTCCGAATTGTACTCTTTACCAAGGCATCTTGCTCCCGAAATCTCAAGCTGATTCTTTGGAAAAAAATCGCTGGACTATGAAGGATCGGTACTGAAAGTCCAGTCCAATATTGAAAAAAATGAGATTTCGTGGTTGCAATAAGTGAATAGTGCAGAGCTGGATAGACCACTATGTCTCATTAGTAACCCCTCCTTTTGAGGTGGTGAAGATGATGGATTGTACCAGCGATCCTCTCCATCTGAAGGATGTGAAGTTTCAAGGGATCCCGCCCATACGGTCAGCGCGGAATGCGCGATCATGTCACTATGATCAGGTGCTACACGACAGTAATAATGCATACACTCACCGTTGAACAATTCCCGGATGAATCTTTGAAAGATCGTTGCTTTCACCTGGATCTTCTGAAATAACCGAGATTTCAAAAAGTTCAAATAATATTGAGTCGGGGTGCCTTCAGTCCAGTTGTGAAATGGCTAAGACACACGTTTCATCCTGCCTTAATTCCCACGCAATGAGACTCTGTCATTGCTACTATTAGACTCAGGAATCAGCTTCGGCACTTCTTTTTCAATATCGATAATTTTGGGCTGAAGCTCAAACTTTCAAAAAAAATAGGTTTCAGGAGACAAAAACAGCATTTTTAACCCTTTCGATTGACAATTGGTCAGAAGTCATATAGTCTGTTCGGGGCCTTCACATGCTCTGCGAATGGAATGCCGTGATTGCGTAGACTGCTCAACATTGGCCTGTCAAGCTTGACAATGGCAGTTTCGACTTGAACGATCTGCCAGAACAGTAATCGCGGACAGTACCTACGACACTTTTGTTCGATCCCTATTCCCCCTAGCACTTACCGATTTTTTGAACTTTTGTCTTTTCTCTACGGTTTTCGGTTTGTAGACTTCACTAGTAAGATAAAGACGAAATGGAAAATTTATGTCGATTTATTCACCTGTTACTCGATACAGTCGAGCCTTGCCGTGATCCTCTTGTATTCGGCGGTCAGGGTTACCGAGAATCAGTTTGAAATCGCCATCTCTGGAAAGTTCTTCACAATATGTAAAGACTTCAGAAAATGTAAAAAAATATGGTTACCAAAAAGGATGATGCTTTTGGCCATAGCAAACCATTTTCGAATCGCGCCACGCACTCAATCTCCACCACTTGTTGGCCGACTAATCTTCGAAGAGCAATTTTGAGAACTTACAACGAACTTCGTGGCAAATAATGCTGCCGAAGTATTTTAGACTCCAGAGTCAGAATCAAAGATACGCATAAGGCACATTGTGGGAGGCCCGAGCTGTTGTTCACACGCCAATTGTGGGACGGGAGTTGGCCGCAACCAACACAATCGTTGGCAAAGGCTTCTTTAACACTTCCACCAATGACGCTTGCACTAACCGCCCGCCTCCAGCGATCATGATCACTGCCTTCAACTTTGATGACTGCTCACATAGGGACAGAGAGCATCGCCGTTGAGCTAAGTTGAATGGGGTCACATTTGACTGCTGCTTGGGAGGGGCTCGCATCACCAAGACAGAGGACTCTTACGGACGCTGCCAATAAACCCAATGTGATAATGTTCCCTGCTTGTGGGGATGATATCAAAACTTCAACTCTAAACGTTTGGGAGAAACCATTCAAAAAGCTAGAGAGATTGAGTCTGTAAGTTTAAAGGAATTACGTTTAGCGGATATTGATCAACCCATAAAGTATAAAGCTCTCGGAAAAGGGTGGAAAACGGCGTCAGTTGTTGCTATGATCCTTGCGCCAAGTAAGTGAGGGATCCATCTAGGTGGGAATTTACTGAGTATGACAAGCAGGGTCTCCAACGTCTCTGCTGCCTCTTGGGAAACTCTACACTCGTTTGCAAATTCGTGACGAGCTATCTGCAGAAATCCATTGTTTATACTATGTATAAGGAAATGATATGTAGTGAATGCTCAATTTCGTTTTATCCCTCGGTCAGATACTGATTCCTTGATTCTTTAATCCGTCTTGCTTATCGCCGAAAACATTCCTCCAAGAACTCAAAACGTGTTCCCTCCAACAATCAAAATCGAAAAACGGGTCGGGCAGAAGCTGTAAACTGAGACCTTGTCAGAAACGAGACGGGCGACCTTGGGGTTTGGCGTAACGCCAGATTTGCACGTTACTCGGCGATTTGTCTATGTATTCATGCAACAATGCTTATCATGTGTATCAAAATTACCATAATATTTCACGAAATCGAATAGTTTTACCAGAAAAAGAAAACGGATTCCCACTACCGTATCGCTGAGCCATGTTCGTCAATGTTGTAGACGAACTGGAATCGTCGAAGTTTCGGGATACCGGTTACTATGTAGTTCCACTGATTGATACCATCACCTAAAATTGGGAAAGATAACCTATTGATCAATCGTGTCCATAAAAATTAAATAAAAATACCGTACGACTGCAAATCTAGACCGGCAACGGCTAACAACGTTGCGTGCCAATCCACCACATGGAACAATCTGAAATATAATTACAGTGTACATCTCAAAAAACTGTCGTATATAAGCACAAAGCGAGGTGAGGGTTGCGTGCGTCGCGACGCGTGCTTCTTATAGTGAGGGGGGGGGGACAAACCTGGCCTCCTGGGTACGACGTGAATGAGTGTCGACCATTATAAATAGATTTGATATGCATACAGGACGGTGTCCGGCTTCAGAGGCATTTTGCACGCTCGCTAATTCCCATCAGTATATCGAGTCATTAAAGACAGCCCCCGCGCTCGAGTAGTACATGGTCGTCCTTCCTTGTGCAAGTAGTACAGCCCCCAAGCTAGAGACTGTCCCACTCTCGCGACTCCACAGCGAGCGAGGAGCGAGCTACAGCCGCTGAAAGTTCTAGTTCTAACGCCCGCCAGTTGGACCGCCCACTTGCTAGATGCCCTCTGACGGAGAGCCTCTCATTTGTTCTTTGGTTTGGGGGCGGCGGGCATTAATCGGAATTGCCATTGTCTTTTTGCTGACGAACGGTGTGCTCACGAAAATGGTTCTGTCTCGTTTTTAATTTTATTTATTTAGGAGCAAATACAGTCACTGCCAAGACATGTTGCAAGAAGGAGGTAAAAATCAAGGGCGACCAATTTTGTGGTGCAAAAGCAGGACGACGCAATCACCAAGCTAAAAGGGGGCATGCTACCGGTAACCTAAATTCGGGCCACAAGTTTTTGTGAGTTTCGCTATTTCCTTTCAAAGAGTTTCTTTCCATGTTTTATTGTTTTTGCGTATTCTTTTCTTGATTGGATGGATATGCCTCTCTGGGGAGATCTGATAGAGGGGTTGCTGAGCCAGGGGTTTGCACAGAGACGCCGCAGAAGGTGTGACTGCCAGGAATGCGACTTGTTTATGTTGGCACTATACTATTACTACGGCGTTTTGCTAACAGGCAGCGGATCTTATCGAACTTTTTTCTACGAAGCTGATTTGGCTGAATTCGGGTTATAGCGTATAGGCCTCCTGACAGAATATAAACATCGCATTGCTGAAAGTGCATGCGCTGCGGCAGGGCCGCGATATTGGAGCATTTAGCGCCGGCGCAGTGGGCGCGATCTTTGAACAGTTTCAGGCCGAGCGGATGTGATATTCGTGTTTAGAAGGTCGAATCACTCCTGGGTACAAGCTTTCAGCGGACTCGATGATCCAGGGTACTTTGGCGGCCGGCGCCTGTGGGCGGCGCCAGGCATTTTCGGAGGAACGGATGTGTATTCGTGTTTAGAGCCGACTTCCTCTACATGACCCGAATTTCCGTCAATCGCTTTGGTAAGAAAAAAGTGATCAGACTCCCGGCTGGGGTTTGGAAACGGGGCATAATATTAGTTGAATAGTGCCAAGGCCTATCGCATCGACATGTTTTTTATCGTTGAGCGGTCTTCAAGTGGGGACCTGTCAACTCTTGTAACTTTTGAAGAGCAATTAACACGTCGATGGGAAACAGGCAAAGTGCAAATGGCCTAAATGCCCTCACCCCCTCCCCAGCCGAACTGCGCCTTTACACAATTCAAAGCATTTGCGAAATTGGGGACCACTCGGCAGCGGTGCCCTACCCGTACCGTAGTCAACGCTGAGGCTTAGCCAAAACGATTTCTTCCTTGCAGAGCCTTCCCTCGGCGACTATGACCGTCTGCGCTCTAAGCCTGACCGTTTTCAGGAGGGTTGCTGAGGCGTGGCCGAGTGGTGCCCTCTCCTGCCCATCAACTCGGCTAGCGCCCATTTGATACGTTCTCTGTGAATTTGTACGTCTTTCACTGTGAGACAAACGATCACAGGTAGACGCAGCTAAATCGTACTCACACGTTTCGATCGCGCACTGCTACATTCATAGTCCTTGCAAATGATAGCGCATGTGACCGGACCGTGCAATCAGGGCAGCCCCCCCCCCTCCCAGCGGACTCGGATGGCATCATTGATGGAACACGGGCTGTGCTAGCTTTCAATACGCGCCGCGTCACACGCCCTATCGTACGCAAGGATTATGAGTCTATAGGCATCACAAGGGTTCACTGCATCTGTGCGGCCGGTCTAAGCAGTGCGCTTATTGAATAAGAGGACTCTGTAAAATACGCGGATGTAGTGAGTCCCGGTAGCCCATCAAAGATAAACGTACTGTGGCCTGATCCCATTTATGTGAATAGACTTCGGTGCATGTACAATTGTAGTCGTTTTCGTGCCACCTTCCCACAGAGTATCCTTCTCCCCTCGTAATGGCCGATTCGAAGCACCAAACTGTGCTGTGCCACCATTCTGAAACAGTGAGCAAAAGGTACGAAACTGAAAAAAGCATCTATCCCTTACTATCACGACCTATCATCATTTTATAATTATTTACACTACGGTTACCATTGTTGACGTTTTGAGTTATGGCGTAATGGTGGTGAATTGGCTTGCCACACTAGCACGGTACAGTCGTTTTTGCTACAGATCCTGGCGAGCCAAGGGTAGTGTGAGTTTGGAGCAGCCCAGCCTTTTTTTACCATTGTAGAAGCGGACAAGCGACAACTGACAACAATTTGTGGAAAATGGGTTGGCTGACTCAGCGCCAAAGACAGCCCCTTTGACTCACTCGAGCGTCTGCAACGGAAATGGCTGTAAGTGTGTGGTCCAAGAACGAGAGCTGGCCAGGCATTCCCTCACTACTATCGTTTATAAGTATTGCTAACAATTATTGTGTCATGCCGGCCATATATTTCATATATTTATTATTATTATTATTATTATTATTATTATTATTATTATTATTATTATTATTATTATTATTATTATTATTATTATTATTATTATTATTATTATTATTATTATTATTATTATTATTATTATTATTATTATTATCAAACACTATATATTGTTGTTGTTATCATTATTACTAAAAAATTAAAAAATTTGAAAAAAAATTTAATTTTTTTTATTGTATATTGTTTATTGCTGCCGAATCATGTCACATAAATAAATACTGACATCATTATCACAGAGAATGCTGAGTTGTGGCAAAATCGACCACGGGCGGACTAGAACCCGCATATTCTGCTTACCGGGCAGTTGCGTTACCACTTACGCTACCGGGGCCACTTTTGACCTCTCAGCTCAATGGCTATTTGTGCCATTGCCTTCGAGCACTCACACGTTCAACGTGATGAGCCGGTTAGCCGATATCGGCAGTGAACCGCAAGGCTCAGGCTTTTTACAAGTTTTAGACTGTTTTTGTTTTGATAACTGCTGTTTTAACCCGCTGCTGCCCACCTAGACTCAGCATTCTCTGTGATAACTTTCGGTATCGCGACACTGCGGTCGTAAAAACAGCAGTTATCAAACAAAAACACTGACATCATTAATTATCGTTAGAACATTGATTATTAATGCAGGTTTTAGTTTCTTCAATAACATCTATCAAATAAATATCAAATATCAAATAAAGTACCATTTTGAAATCCCATTATAAAGGTTTAAGGTGGTGTAACTATGTAATAATTTAATATTAGAAGCATCAAATATAATAATAATGTTTTATTATTTTGACGGTGATGCATGGCAATTTTGAGCATTATTACCGTGCAGTCTGTTGTTTGTGTAAAATAACCAGAGTGAATCGCGAGCTTGAGTCGGACTGAAAGCGTGATTAGGTTCAGATCGAACAAAATGGACTACATTAGGCTACGATCCTGACAACGGCGTCTATGCAAATCGGGACAATGCAAAAGTTCTTCCCATGCCGGGAATCGAACCCGGGCCGCGTGGGTGAAAACCACGAATCCTAACCACTAGACCACATGGGACACAGGACAACATTGCCGTCAACTCGTCACGTAACGCCGCTGTGGACAACGATGTTATCGTTCATATACGTTGAGGTGCATATAGCGAAAACCTCGTGAGCTACCCTTTTACTACTTATGAAATTGCAAGATTGCTCTTTCTTGCCAAAAGGCGTTACTAAAATACGCTCCTTACCCAGTTATTTTCGACATAGCTGCAAAAATCCTTTACTCTTTCAACCAGAAGACTTCAATTATAATGAGCGAAATTTTGATAACTTTTGTGCTTAACATTTTTTTTTATTTTTACACCTTCGTTATGTGTTCTACTGTAAACTCCGATGATGAATGAATTTTTGTATTGAATTTCAATAATGGTAGCCAATTTCCAAGGAAAATCGCTCATTCAGGAGCACATCATAACTTGTTATGAATAAAACTCGGAACAACAGGGACGTACTAGCTAATTGTAAGACCATAATCATACGACCCTGAAGAGGCTCAGATTAAGAAAAAAAAATGAGGGGCAACATGATAGTGAACTTCCTTCAAATTTTTGCTGTTTTCGGTTGGATCCCTCAAATAAAAAACACAATCGAATCATCAACTGCAGTAACCAGAACTGCAATAACTAGTCCTTTGCATCCCAAATATCAAAGGATACGGACCAGGTGGACAATTCATTTGGCCGGATTAATGCGTGAGTGTTCAGCTGATAACGTCGGCTTCGGTCGGGGCGGTTTCAGTAGGGATATAATCAACCCACTCGCGGCATGTCCTCCTCTTGTTGTTACCAAGCGATCACTATGAGTAGAGCGAGGCAGCCGAAGACGGGCCCACTCCGCCGTTCCAGATTTTCTCCGTTCCCGCTGCGCCTGATTCCGATGTTATTAACCAAAGCTACACTAGGTATTATCCCACAACACTGGATAAAGTGTGCAGACCTGACAAATGCGTTACGGGAATATTGCAGGGGAACATTTCGAGAAACTTTCTGGTTTTGTGAGCCTTTCAGAACCGAGAGTGAGGTCTTATTCTAGTGTTGTCTACCCTGATCAGTATGAGACGTTGTGACAACTCGGACAAACAGCATTTCGAAAGTGAAGAATAGATGAGTAAAAAAGCGGGAAAGTGTACCCATAGGCTTTTTTGTGAGCAGGCCGCTTTTCTTCTTTTCTGCAGTTTTTAGGATACACAGACTCGAATGCGATGAAAAATTAACTTGAAAAACTTTTTTAATAAAAGCTGTTTATACTATTTATACTACCTACATCGCTTGTAAAGATGATTACTGTGTCATCGTACTTGTTCGTGGCTCTCAAGAAATCGATTACGCGTCCAATCGCAAAATCCATCGAAGTAAGCATTCCTATAATATGGGGGTAAAGAATTTAAATATGTAGGTGGTGCATGTAGTAGAACACAAAAAGCTTTTGAAAGATAAATATTTCATTAGTTGTGCAACCAAAAATAAACGAAATTATTCAAAGGCCCAGTACTATCGTACAAGCAGAGGCACTCAAGTGTTGCACCACCCTCATTCTCGCACAGTTCTCCATTACTGTCTCCTAGAAAGACGCACACAACAAGGGAAACACAGTATTCGGTTATCCCCGCCCACATGACCAGCGTGGACTCTGCTCTGGAATACGAAATGATCAATCTCCCCGAAGAGAGAGAGAGAGCAGAGTGACTATAAACTGAATTATTGAAGCGCTAGAAGTTTCTCGGGAAGTCGTCACGTGTTGCCCAGAACCGAATTTTCGATGTTTTCTGATTTGGAAAAATTGCAGTAGTTATTCACCGCAGTATATTCGGCGAGCCTTTGAGCTGATTCTCGAGCAATACTTTTCGAACCGCTTTGGTACCTGAACATGGTATCTACGTTGAAATCTGCAAGTGATAGGCGAGAAGAATTGGTAATTAATCTGCTAGATCCTCTTACATTTCACGTCTAAATACACTCGAAATCCCTGAGATCGGGTAGGCGTGGCTGCATGCTTCAACTTAACCTGGAGGTGTCTATGCTTCTGGTGAGATATTTTCATCTTGACACAATTGTTGTCGTGTCTCTGCCCAACACAGAACAAGATGACAGTTGTCCCAGACTGGAATATTCCACGAGTAACCAGTTCCGTGCCATGTTCAAATGCCACGCCTACTCTAGCTCAGGGATAAGGAGTGTAAGTTTGGTGACGGCTTAGCGTTTTGAAGGCGCGGGGACGAAATAGACAAGCAGATGTTCACGAGACCAACAAAAGTAGTAAATACCCAAAAAATGAAATACCTGTAGAGGAGGGTGAACAGCCTGAAAGGAAAGAAACAGGAAGAACGGTTTTGAAGTGTTGTGCACGTCGATAACTTCCATTGCGGCATCAGCGAATAGTTCCTAAGAAGAACTATGGAACAGTTGTCCTATAAAAATAACAAACGAAGTGCAAAAATTGAAGTACAAAAAACAAGATGGATTTGTGAAATAGAATAAATGAAGGCACGTCAGGGCTGATTGTATGGGCTAATTCAGTCGTACTTATGTGCCCAGCGGCTCGCCCTTTGTTCGCCAGTTTTATGAAGGGCAAGTGACGGATGCACAACTGCGAGACCTGACAGACACCGCCCACATGATTAACGCGGACTCTACCAAACCGAACCTTCTCTTTGTCAGAGTGGAGCAGTAACCTTGCTTGCTAAATCTCGCCTGCTATCACATCTTTATTCTAGTGTAATTGATAACATTATATCATAACTTATTATCTATTGAGAAGCTTTTCCACAGGTTCTGGTTATTTAGCATTTTGTTGGGTAAGATAGTCTATGGGAACAAATCTCCGGACAGGCGACTCCTGAAGAGATGGGCCTGTTGGGGAGGCCATGATCATAGAGATCAGGGAGATAGAGAAATAGATAGAGAGATAGAAGTGAGTGGTCAGGGAGGGGCGTGGTCATAATGATTACATACCCCTAAACGATGGGTCTATTAGCAGTTGAATGAGGCAATGATCGCTTTTTGAGCAGAGGTGGGTATGACCGCGCCGATCAACTGCCATAAATGGGCCTTTGTACTGGAAATAGATAGTATTCTTCATTTCTCCGTGGCTCGACGTATATCCAAGTTCCTGAACTCAGTGATCCCATCTCCGACACGCTTTGTGGCGTTTCCTGGACCTACTGCGGCCCGACACAGCACTCTGAATTTACTGGATGGGCGCGCTCCGCTTTGAGGGACGCCGAGAATCTTCCGCCTTCCATCTCGACCCATTCCTTGTATCTGTCCGACTTCCACATTGTCTTTTTATTAATGGTTCTGTAATATGACTTCTCTTTTCAATACATTTTCCAACGAGTGTGCACTCTTTGTCCTTGGGATGGCGTAGTCCTGGGATACATACATGGCGCGGAAAGGATTACTTGTAGGATAATTCAGTTAGGGACTTGCCGTATTGTTCAGTGTGGGACACAAATAGACATGCAGCAGTTGTGTCAAAATGAAAATACTTCACCAAAGGTGCAGCTACTGCCACGTTTAGATGAAGTACGCAGCCACGCATTCCACATCGGATTTCGGGTGTACACTGCGATTTCCGCGGGATCTGCCGAGTATCACCAAAAGAGAAACCCCGCACAAAGGTAATTTGGTAAAAAGAGAATAAAATAAAAAAATAAAAGGGGCATGAATTTTACTGATTGCGGCATCAAATACAAGGTGAAAAGGTGAGACACGTTTAAAAATATGTAGAGGTGAGTGAGCTCACCGTTGAGTAGACTCCATTCTGGCCGAATACTGGTGTACTAACTCCACCGCCGAGTTCTTCAAACAGGTCGACTCCTCCAACGACTCGCTTTAAATCACGATGCCATTGGTCTGAAAAGTTGTCATAACAACGTTGTTGATACATACCGACACCAGTGGTGAGCCCCCCCCCCCCGCCTACCGTATGATGCACCGCAAAAGCTATTCCCATGAATCACACCGTCGGAAAAGGTGAGGGGGCTACCAACTCCAGGGAAACCGGCTGGATGGGGGATTAGCCCCGGGGGCTCGGGAACTCTATCTGAGGTACACCCACATGGGAGGCAATAGAAAAACCTTGTTTTTTGCTCGATTTTTAAAGCGAAATAAGTTACACTTTATTAAATTCTGATTGGACATTTCCACCACCATATTCAACAGCATATTGTATACTATCATGATACTCCGCCACAGCCTTCTGGACGAGCGCCATCGAGAGATTCTGCCACGCGACCGTGATTCGGTGCCTGAGTTCAGCGAGGTCACTGATTTCTCTCCCTCTGTAGACAACCCTGTTGAGCTGCTCCCGAACCCAAGGGGGTGTAGGTCAGGCGACACACTCCTTCAGGTACCCGACACGCTTCGATTCCATGTAGGGCTGGCACCCGATCCTGTAGCAATGTGGAGTTTCCAATATGGTACAGGCGACGACATGAAGGCAGGATATTCGAGTTGTTCTAACCGTCAACGCTCCTTTTGATACGAGGTCCACAAACTCTATCGGTCTTCCCATCCCAAGAACATCCGGTCCATACCATCAACCCGCGCCGGTCCCCATGTCTATGCGTGACCAGGGCACATCGCTGGTTGGGGATTTTGGTCGAGTCTCTACGACCCCCCCCCCTTTTTTGGGATTGGTACGACCCCCCTCTACGGCCCTCTGTCCCTCCTCATCGAATCGAGCCGTCGAGCGGGGGGGGGGACAGGGGGTACATACTACGCATGAAACAGGAAAAAAAAGTCAACCACCGCTCCTACGAAATACGAACGTAAAACGTAAATACGACCCCCCTTTTTACAACGTCCGTGAAGCGAGAAAATCAACTATCAAAATAACCCGGCCCAAATACGA